AAACATACGGATTAAACCAAAACAATTTTCCAGAAATTGTGTATAGAGTTCTAAAAGAATTCATTAAAATAAAAAATCGACAGATTTATCCGACAGCAGAAAAAATTTAGAACGTTTTATAAACATTTTGAAAAATCACCAACACCTCAAAAACATGTATCCGAAATTCTGACCTTTGTGGCTTCTTCTTCTGCTACAGTTTAGCGAGTTCCCTCCTCTTCATATACGAACCCACTGGAACAAAAAAAAAAAAACATGAATGACTACTACACAAAGAAAGTTATACTTGAAAGTAACGTAAATTCATTAACGTTGAGTTTTCAAAAAATGTTGGTTGGAAAAAAACTCAAATTTAAGATGTATACGACTTTTGACTTTTATATAAAAAACATTAGGCCGAAACTATATATTATTCTTCATGCAGGTTAGAGCATTTCTAACACATTATTATTTTGTACATTTTCAAGTACAAATACATTAGTGGGTTTAATACACGAAATATAGCGTTATCACAACCTTATTTTGCTGTGTATTTCGGGGTTATTTTATAAATTACTCAAAAAATCAACTGAACTCGTTCTGAGAAACCTGAAAACATGTTTTAAAAGTGCATTTCCAGAGATCAAATAATCCCTACAAGAACGTTAGTTATCGTATTATCAAACGTGATGAAAGTATTTCACGGTCAAATTGTAAAAAAAACTTTATTTTTTAAATTCTGTACTGACATCGTTAACTTTTTCCTGGAGACAAATACTTATATGAACTTTTTATATAGACAGTGTAACACTGATAATAATAGCAATGCTGTATGTTCCCAGAATTTTGAGAAAACTAGACGAACTATGGTTGATTTAATCATTATCAAAATGAATCTCTTCGTTAATTAATTTGTTTCGATATCTTGTGGGTACAAGTAATTATAGAAACTAGAAGCATGTTACCAGAACACGCAAATACCAGACATATGTTTAATTAAAAATTTATTATTATATTATTTATTATAAATGAATAAGTATTTAAATTTATATATATTTACGTATTCATTAACTAGATTTTAATACAAATTGTCAAATTTCATTACCCAATTTTATTGCTATACATTGGCAAACTACATAGATCTATAGATGCACTAATATCTACTAACAATTTGACATTATAATGTTTATAGTCATTTAAATTATGAAAGTGAATACTATAAATGACACACAACAAATGATAAACCGATAAATAAAAACTGATAAGAACGTTTACCCTTTAAATCCCAATGTTGGTTCCTGCCGTCCCCGAAAAATCCTGTTGTGCACATAACATCACTTAAGTTCTACTTTAATATAAAGATTATTTTTAATAAAAATAAAACAGTTAAACTAGCCAGTTTACGGACCGAACGAACCTACACACATTAAAGTCAAAAATGCACTGCACGCATTAAACGTCTTCGCGTAATAGGAAGCAGTAAAAAATTTTCAATGTACTTCTTATCAGAGACTTTTTTTGTAGAACTATAAATCACGTGTCACAGCGGACGGCAATTCTCTATTAAAATAATACAAACGTTATTTTCAAACGGTTCAAAATTTTCAGTGTGTGAATTTAAAATCACCAAACGAGAAAAGCCCGAGGGACATTAAACGTCAACGTTTTGCGTGTTTATCTCAATTATTATTTATTAGTGTGTTTTCTACTGATTTTTGGATTCAGAGTTACTTACGTTTTTACAAATGTTTCATTAATTTTTAGAATCCTCCACTCTATAGTAACAAAATATAACTTTGCAATTTTTACTTCCTGAGAGTGAGCTAAGAAGTAGTCAGGGTCATACAAAACCTTTAACCTTTTCCTAGGAATTAGGAATACATTGTTTCCCACTGATTATCTGCTTTAAATATATTTCATATGGTCCGCATTTGTTCAGACGGTGCCGCTTTGGAATTTGCACCCTCGAGGCGCAGGGATTGAGGAGGTTTATTTTTTTATTATTATTTATAGAGCATCTTAATAAATACATTTTCATAATGGTCTTTAATTGCTACAACGACGTTAGTTAGCGTATTATCAAAAATCATAAAGGTATTTCACAGTAAAATTGTAAAACTTCATTATTATTTTTTTAAATTCTCTACTGACATCGTTAACTTTTTACTGGAGACAAATACTTATATTAATTTTTTATACATATAGACAGTGTAAACACTATAACAATATCAGTGCTAAATGTACTCAGAATTTTGAGACAATTAGACGAACTGTAGTTGATTTAATAATTATTAAGATGAATCTCTTCGTTATTATTTTTGTTGCGATATCTTGTGAGTATAAGTAATTGTAGAAACTAGAACCATGTTACCAGAACACGCAAATACGAGACATGTTTAATTAAAAATCTATTAGACAAATGGTTCAAACGATGTCATCCCCGTTTCAAAGGAATGAATAAGTATTTAAATTTATATGTATAGGTATATTTACGTATTATTAACTAGATTTTAATACAAATTGTCAAATTTCTTATCCAAATTTATTTTAATACATTGGCAAACCACATAAATCTATGGATGCACCAATATCTACTAACAATTTGACATTATAATGTTTATAGCCATTTAAATTATGAAAGTGATCTGATAAATAAAAACTGATAAGAACGTTTACCCTTTAAATCCAGATGTTGGTTCCTGACGTGCCGTGCCGGTCTCCGAAGAATCCTTTTGTGCACATAACATCACTTAAGTTTTACTTTAATGTAAGGATTATTTTTAATAACAATGAAACACTTAAACTAGCCAGTTTACAGACCGAACGAACCTACACACATCCAAGTCAAAAATGTACTGCCTACATTAAACGTCTTCACGTAATGGGAAGGAGTAAAAAATTTTCATTGTACTTCTTATCAGGGATTTTTTTGTAGAACTATTAATCACCGTGTCACAGTGGACGGCAATTCTCTTTTAAAATAAATAATAATACAAACGTTATTTTTAAACAAATCACAATTTTCAGTAAGTGAATTTAAAATCACCAAAATTACAATTCGCCAGAACTAAACGAGAAAAGCCCGAGGGACATTAAACGTCCACATTTTGCGTATTTATATCAACTATTATTTATTAGTGTCTTTTCAACAAATTTTTGTATTTAAAGCTAGTTTCTGGGCAGAAATTCAAATGTTTCATTCATTTCTAGAATACTCCACTCTTGTACAAAAATGCAACTTTGCAATTTTTACTTCCTGAGAGTGAGCTAAGAAGTAATAAGGGTCATTCAAAACCTTTAACATTTAGTTAGGAACTACAGAATATCTTATGAAATTAATCCATTCATTCCCTCCAGAAAACTGATGACACTGATGAGTGAGGACGTGATTCAAAAGATATGTAAAATATACAGGATGACTTACTCAGCACGTGTTCTCCTCGTTATCTTATACATTATTAGGCTTGTTAATGATAAGCATAGTTTATTTTTGCAATTATAATTTTAGATTATTCCAATTTTCTTTAAAATCCCTCCTTCGCAAAAAAAATTAACTGCTAAACTACACTACTCACTAAAAATAGCAATAGGGTTATTTTTAACATTTTTTTTCTTTTACGATGTTGTAGGTAAATAAACAAAGGCACGCGCTTTATTGTAGTGTCAATAAAATTGGATCTTAATTTATAGTGTTCATCAAAAAAAAAAATAATTTTCAAATTTTGATATTTTTGTAGTTTCAAATGGAACAGTCTGCATTTTACTGGAGCCTGTTACTGTCGTCTTTTTTATTAACTTTTTCTTTTATTAAGCATTTTCCATACCTAAATTTGGTAGTTTCTGCAATTTTTCACTATTTTAAGAAATATACCGAGATATCGAACATGATTGATAACATTAACAAGTTTGACAATTTAGTTGTGTAGTAGTTTTGTTGGTTTGGTTGTTTTGAATTGTGTTACCACTTTTTAATTTACTTTAGTATCAAAGGCCAGATTTGCTAAAAAATTATTTGCAAAAGTTTGTTTTGATATTTTAATAAATTGGCATAATTAATAAATAGTTCTTTTTCTCTTTTCTTATAATAATAAATTATACAGTGTGAGTGACTAAGCGTGATCCTCAATATCTTATTAGTTATTATCAAAGATAGAAAAAACGTCACAGACCAAAGTTGTATAGTTCTTCGTGTAGCGTCCATTAAAATTAGTTGCGACTATACAGTGATTAGTTGATTACAGTGTTTAGTTTTTGCAACATAGCACTCAATTTGTTATATTATTATTTAAAAGAACACTGTATATTTTTACATATTGTCATTAGCTTACTCCTAGGCTTTATAACCATAGTTTATTTTTGAAAATCCGATGCGACGTTATCACGATATTCCAGTGTTCTTGAATTTTCTACCAATACAAGAGATAACAAAAAAATTACAATACTCTTATTTTTAAGATCTGTATTCTAATACTTTATAGAGAGATGAACAGAGGTACGCACTTTGTTGTATTATCAATCAAATTTTAATGTAGAGTGTTTAAAATAAAGTCTGAAACGTATGAATACTTCAGTTTTTTCAGGTAGAACACCCTGTAATTTACTACTGCATTTTATTCTATTTTAAATACAATTTTAGTCTTCGACTTTTTTTCTGTTGCTAATAATAATTAATGATAAACCTGTACATTAAAAACAATAGCGAGTACACTTTGTCATTCACAGGGGCAAGCAGAATAATCACCTGTTTTAATTTTCCGTTAAATCCAATTTTTTTTTATAGCTATCACGATACTAATTTTATTACTACGAGTTAACAAGACGAGTTTCTATCATTGATTTAGCTATTTTGTATTTTTATTTTAATACACATTTAGCTGATTAAAAAATATATAATTCTTTCATTAGTAATTATTAACTCAAAACAAGAAATAAGGAAACTAGATTAGTGATGACCTGATAAATTATACAGGAAAATGTTGAAATAAATTTTTAATATAAATACGTAAATTTATTTTGCCATTAGTACATATACCAAATTTTGTATCATATAAATCTAGCGTTTTTGTAACATTTTATAACAAAAAGGAACTATATACAAGAACTTGGTAACTCATTTAGGACTTTAATAAAAACAAAATTACATAAGCAAGCCACTAACTAATTTTCCTAAAAAGGGATCCTTTTTCTAGCTTGAGTAAGACTAAGTTATTTGATTTGCAAATAGTTGATGGCATTTTTTAAGCCTCCACCATGTAAAACATTCATCTCATTAACAGTCAAGTACTAAAAATTTTCCATCTGGTCCCACGCACAAATCAATAACCACCTTCCTCTTAACTAATGAAAATTTAACGACATCCCTCTGTACAAAACAACAATCTACAAGCCTACACTGTATTCACAAATGTTAATCTTTTACAAATATGACTAGATTAAAGACTATAAATAACTAATGCATCAACATCTTATCAACATTCAGTCTCATTCGAAAATGCAATCCTGAGATAGCTTTTGATCAATTAAATGCCCTTCGATAACACCATATAAACAATATTTTAACTTCTCATTACAACTTGATAATCAGTCTTAACTGGAAGATAAAATATTCGAATCGTGATATGCTAATTCAATATTGCACTGATTTTCAGTCACTTCCTTTTCGTCATCATCGTCATCTGCAAACCTAATTTCTTCCAAAATGTTAGTATCTAAGCTAGGAGATTTTTCCACTTTAGTCTCTTTTTCCATATCGTCGATCAACTTGCTGGTTGAACTACACCTCTTGCTTTTATGCAACTCAGGCAGTTGTATAGTCACCACAGTTTTGTTTAAAAGAGGTTCCTTTTCTTTCACATCTTCCGGATATGGGAGCACCTTCTTACTTTTCTTCAATATAGGAGAAGCTTTAGGCGTCACATCTACAGGCTTGTCGCCTTTAGGCAGCAACGTTTCTTCCTCTTCAGGGGATTCTTTATTACTTCCGGGGTCTATGTACACTCTAGGTTTGAGTTCTTCATCAGTTGGAAGAATCTCACCGTCTTCGTCCAAAGGAGGTATCCACACTAAAAAAGCAGGATCCATTCCTAAGTACGATCCTGGAGCAGCTCCTGCATTTACAACATTGTAGTCGTAATAATCCAATTCCAAGTCATTATCTGCGTTCACTATGGAAAAGTCCGAACCTGCTGCAGGCCCACCTAGGAGTTTTTCCCTATTTCTTTTTTCTTTCGTTTCTTTGGCATTGGTGCTTCGGATTGTTGCTGTGCTGGTTAGACTGGATGCGGGCGAATAGAACCCCTGGAAGAGTTAATTATGGTATTAGAGACTGGCATTTAGAAGGGTTTTGGACACATCATAGAAAAGTGCGTTCTAGAAGTGCTCTGGTGAAGGAGACGGAGACATTAATTCGATTGGCTACTATTCTGTTGTGCACATTGATATGTACAAAGGGGATTATAGCTGAACTTCGTCATTTTAATCTCACATATTTTTGTGTAAATAAAAAAAGTTTTGAGCGTTGTTGCTTGAATTTCTTTTAAAGCCAGTTGTATACAGGATGATTGCGAAATATATGCAATAATTGTAACCACGTCATCAGGTACCGTAGTAATGTGGAAATACAGAAAAAACGAATTAAAAGTCGAAGAACCGATTTTTGGTAATGCTTCATGGTCATCAACTTTTTTTCTGACGATTCTTGCCACAACGATTCCACATTGTTTATTAAAACAAAAATAAGAGCAACTTAGAATGCTACTACGTGCGGTGTTGTGGCTGCTGAAAATAGCATTGCGAGTGAATTCTGCTTCATCCGTAAATAGAATGCAATTTAAAACGTTATGGCATTCACGACATTGCTATAACAACCATTCACAGTAAATTACACGACGTGGAAAATCTGTGTATTTCAAAGCTTGCACTTTTTGAACGTGATATGGATGTAAGCCTTGTTCTTTTAATGTAGGATGCACTACAAATTGTGAAACCCCAACTTCAGCTTCAGGCTTTTCTTCGACGTGTTCCAAAATTTGTTCTTCAGCTTGCAATATTTTTTCGGTCATATCACGGCCACGATTGTGAGTTTGAGACTTGAAAGAACGCGGTCCATCAGCTACACCATAAAGCATTATTATGTCGACACGTTTTAAATTGGAAAAATTCAACATTGTCAGAAATCTTATCGACTATTCGTTCTGTGATATTCATTGAATAGTAGCTAAGGTAGGTCAAGAAACACTACCAGTGGTGTGTATAACAATTTATATTTAATTTCAAATAATTTGTTTCTAGACATTGCTACCACTTAGGAACTTGAACTTTACACAGTGCGAATCTTCTTGTGAGCTATTCCCTATTTTTTTCTTGCACAAATTTCGAAACCACCTGTATATATTTTTTTAAATCAATTGTTGAGAATTCGGATTTGTACTGACTTGTATTTAAAAGTTTAATGAATGACAAGTCGTTAGATCCATGTAAGGATTTTGATCATGATTAAGAATGAAAATTTGGATCTCACTCTCAAATAATCAGCAAAACATTATTTTATTTTATTTTTATTGAATTCTTAAATTTTGGGTGGAAATTTTTATTTTGTGAACATACTGTATGTAAATTGAAAGCTCAAACTCTTTTTAATATTTATCTCCACAGAGTATTTGATAAAGTATTATTTTTGGGGCGTGCGAAGAATAGAATGATAACCACATTTAATGTTCAAAGTAGAACGTGTCTGGTGAGGTGTATAACGAGGAGTGTATTTTCATTCTGGTGGTGCAGATCGTGCTCTGAAAAGAAATTTGGATACTTCACCGGATCACTTTTAGAACCAATTTCAGACGATGTTCTCACATGCGTCATAGTGGCAGTACTGACGTTACTTAGTCTTCTAGAGATTTTAGACGATGTACTTTTTAAATCGTCTTTTTCACTCGATTTGTCCTTGTCGCTGGTCAAAGTGGACGACCGCCTCAACGTCCCCTGCTCGTAACTCTGTGGTGAACCCGGCAAACTACACGCAACCTCTTCCATTTCGCTCGTAGTTTGCGGTAACGCCGTTGTTAAAGTTTCTTGTTGTGTGAGAGTCGTTGTACTGCTCAAACTCAAAGATTCTTCTTTACTGCAATTACGTGGTTCACGTGTTATTAAAAACGAAACTCCCAAACTCTAAGCAATAATGGAAACGTGCGTCGTTCGACTGTATCGTCTGAAACTGCACTCGAGCAGAAGGAATTTTAAACTCGGACTTACGCCAACGTCACCTCCTGCTCCTCTTCTTCCTGTTCACAATCCATTGATTCCCTCAAACGGCTGTGCTTATTCCGAGCCTTCATGTGCGGTCTCAATCTAGTTAATGAAATTACTTCCGACAGGAGCGTCGCGCTCGATGAGGCCCTCGTTCGCATTGATATACTGGCGCAAGAGGCTGCAAATTTATGCGGCTTGAGGAGGAATTTGTCGGGATAGGAGAGCCAATACCTGTGGGATCAGCGAGGGAATCCTGATCTTCGGCCTGGGCGATGTGGTATTTCCTGTAGCGAAATAAATATTGAGCCCCCAACAAAGCCGTGGCAATCAGCAGACCGCTAAGAAAAAATATCGCTGCGATATGGACCGCTGTCAATTTCAACATCACGGCAGGGACTACGCCGATGCTCTGGGCTATTGGAATGCCGGACACGTTCGATTTACCGGTCCCTGAAACAAGAAAATCTTAGGAAATTCATTCAAATTAGAAAGGATCTGCAAGAATTGAACTTAACATCTTAAACATGCAGGTCCGTTAAGTTGGTAATTTTATTAACTAGTTGATTTTACACAAACATTAGCTGTGCGTTTTTAAACCTAGTTCTAATCAATTCCAGTACCCAAAAACTAGTTCCATTTAAATGTAGCGATAATTGCCTTTTGTTTTTGGTAGTGGTTAAGTTAAGACAAGCTCTCCCCAGCCCCTCCCATAAGTATTTCAACCAATAACAATAACAAACTTAACCAACTACTCACTTACTTAGGTATAACTACAGTAGTGTGAAAAAACTAGCAGGGAGTTATTTTTTACCCAGCCGCATTACAATAGAACGTATTATTCCATTATCACTGTATTTACAGCAGTTGAAGTTTAGTTGCTCTCAGGGACCTCTAGGAGCCTTAGTTGACATTGGCTTTAAGTTATGATCATATTTTGACGTCATTAACAAACCTAGTGTCATATGTGGTACACCTAGATCCAGCTAACTCCATCGATGTGAATGCTAGCACCATTGTAGAGTAATTCAAATTACAAAAAACTTAATCAGGCTTCAATGATTTTATTGATGATGATAATAATTGTATGCAACCTTTATTAGCATCTCTCTAGCTAGTCTGATTAAACAAAACACTAAGTCACTCTATTCGTTTCTCTCTAAAGTTAAAACTAGCGGAATAAATAACACCCCAGGCCCTGTGCCAAAAATTTGTTCATCCAAGTATGGACAATGTAAAGTATATTTAAAGTATATGACCAACGGGAAAAAACATCCTCTCAGCATTAATAACAAGCTTCAGTTCAAGTGTTTATGTTTATACAACGAAAACAGAGGACTAGAATTATTAATTAAGCCATAATCGAACAAAATGTTCTGAATATTGCAATTCTTGTTTTATCATTATTAAATGAAAACGTGGATATTCTCATATTTTCGAGCAAAGGAAGTAATTCGTTTTAAATTTGATCAATAAAAAATTTATGATGACAATTCCAATAAATATTTTTAGAAACGAAAAGTCAATATTCATTAATTCCTGGTCTCTGTGGTATTCTGATTTTAAAAATTAAATTTCACGCCGAGAAAGAAAAAACGACGCCGTTTAACCGCATTGAAAAAAAAAAACAATAATGTAGGCAATCACCCATATATTAGTGCTGCTTGAAACAGGGAACCATCTGTTAAAAATTAGTGCGTAATTTAGTTTGTAATTTCACGAAAGAGCTATTGTTTAAATAAAAATTAATCGTACTTGACGCCACCGTCTCCCCCCAACGAGAATAATTAGTGTAAGATCAATTAATTCATGATTTTCTAATCTGAAATGTTATGAAACTTCGGCGAATGCGTCAACACATCTTATTATTATTTGATTGTAAATTCCTAGCTCATGTTAATATTTAGGTTGTGCATATTTCATCCGTGTTTCGTTTGTTTGTGCGGTTTACTTTTGGTTCAGGACGATGTAGTATTTTCGAATTCATTTTGATTTAACCACTAACATTATGTAAAATATTTGTTGAGTAAAATTCTTGATAGTGTGGCGTAATTAACTGTTGCTTGCTTCATTTCTTGTAATGCTAATTTGTAATTCTAATGCTTGTTCAGTTATCGTTATAAATTCGAGAAATATAGGATTTGAATTTTAATGAAATTAAAGCACAAGATCGCGTCGCGTAAGTGGAACACACGGTTTTTAGTTTAGATTGACGGTTTTTTTCTGATGTTATTTGCGCTCACAAATATTAAATTGTAAACTTCATGAGGAGACCCGCGTCTACGTAAACCGTGCAGTTTTGTAACAGCTGGCTAAAGCGGGGTAAAGCGTATAATACGCGACAGGTTTTTAGGCATAGAGATGCGGTATGTGTAACTGTCAATAGAGTAAAATTTTCTAGGAATAGAGAAATCTCATACTGCGGAATAAAGTACTTTCACGGATTCTGTTGAAGTCACTATAAGAAAGAAATCTTTAAAAATGTTACTATATTCCAGATACTACACGATGTTTTTGTGACTTTTGCTGATAAAAAATTACGAATTTTATGAACTACTTTAACGAGAGCTTGTAAAGCTTGTGAACAGTGAGAGGAACTTGATTAAAAAATTATTAGGTTATAAATACGCGCTTTGTACATTAAGGCTAGTTAAAGGTGCAATAACAAATTTTCATTACGCTCTAAGAATTAGTGAAATTTCATTAAATTTGCTGGATTTTTTAATTACTCTTAGCTGACATGTCAGTGGAATCAACTGGAATAACGCGTAAGTCGATATCGAAATACTGCGGGGGAGGCAGTTTTAACCTAACCACTCTAATGAAAATAAACAATCTGATTGATTTAAAAGATAAAGAACATGTTTTTTACAATGGAGAGACCTGAAACGAAGTTAAAATTACATATCTAGAAAAGTTTATTCCTTTTAAAAATAAGTGAGAGATACTTATTTTTACTTTACTTAATGTTTAATACAAATTTTTGGTGTTTTTTCTTTTTTATGAAGTTACAGAGATCCGATTATGCCTTTTGTTCAGTTTTATATCGTTGAAAACTTTCCTCAAGCGTTTTTAAAAAGATTATTTTAGGGCGCAACCTAAATTTTTTTTTTTCTTTTTTAGTAGCAGACAGTTTCAGAGAAAGTTTTATTTTTATTGAGGAAAACGTTTGCATACGAAATTTTTTTAAAACACTGCAGTTTCACGCTATGACTAATAATATTTTTTATGTTTAATAATGTTCACTGTATTTTTGCTATTTTGTTTTTGAAGACATGTTTTCATTAATTAAAAAACACTAATGTATTAGCTAGTTGCCAATGTTATTGTTAAAGTTTATTTTTTTGTATACAGAGATGTTATTTTATGGACACAATTTTTAAAATTTCTGCTGTAGTTACCCATGACGCTTATGTCAGCAGTTTCAGTTACACATCTAACGTAAATGACTTCCCTAACTAGAGCAGAAATTTAAAAAATCACCAGGTATAACTTGTATGTAGTCACTAGTCACATCATATGTTACAACTAATTTTGTTGGTTTCACATATCATATAACGTGTGTTTTTGCTATCCGTTTTAGATTTATTATCCACTATTTAGAAGAAACTAAAAAAATACAGTATGATAACCAACAGTTTGTTTTATTAATTTAATTTAAAAAATGATTTTCAAAAAGATGTATCTGAAATAATAAGAATTAAGAAATATGGTTTTCAGTTTACATGGCGACATTGTTCCGAACACTGTTAACAGAAAATTTTCAAATTGTATTTGTTGGAAAATTTTGTCATCTATATTTTGTTATTAATTTATGAAACAAGAATTTTGACAAAATTAAAATACAGCCACGGATTTTTGAAAATGTGTCTATGATCTTTACATTTTCAATTCAAACGTTCAAATTGACTGTAAACTGATAACACGAAAATTGAACTCACGATTCTATGGCGGTTTTTGGTTGTTTTTTATTAATCTCTGGGTATATATTTTTATTACAATAAAAGTAAAAAAAAAATGTCTCGTAGTACAAAAATAACATATACAAAACAATTTCCCTAAAAAATATAGATTTAGGTACAAAATAAGCTGTAACCATAACGGTGTAACAATATAATAACTGTGTAAATATACGGAGGGCTCAATGAAGATTTTTTTATTGTTCACTTTTCAAATGCATTACGGAAAAATGGCAACAACAATGCTGACGCCAATCTGAAGCTAGTACCTTATGTTATTCAGTATGTAAGAATAAGAACAACCTAATAATTTCCACTAAATTGTAGTCAATGGAACAAAATTTTGAGGAATATCTATTATTCATAGCTGGGTATATCGTCAATATTCTTTAATAACATATGCCTGATGTAATTCTGCATATGTATTAAAGATGATAAGCAGATTTAGCAGACAAATTACAGCTTGATTCTTTCGTATAATTGTCAAATTGGTCTAATTCCCAGACACCTACATCAGTTTTGATTAAGTGATACATTCTAAAAAAAATCTTCACTCTCCCACTACTCTTTCATGACCCTTGCTTCCATACTTTCCACTCAACGACTGTTTATTCCAGGTCCGTACTTATCTGACTAGCGTGTGCCAAGAAGCCCCCGCCACATATTTGTCCTCCGACAGCGATCTCGTCTGAAAAAAACTCGAGCAATAAATTCGGTCCTGTCGAATTGACGACGGATGGTGTCGTGTCGGGAGCACCGGATAAATCAGCGAGTAAATTCGCTGATAGGGAACTACCATCTCTCACTTTCAGCCATTGAGTGCCGCACGGCAAATGGAATTGCTCCACTTTGAACTGGATTATAAACTCCTCGTCGGCCTGGAAGAGCATTGCGCATTATTTAATTATTCACAAAATGTGTGGGGGATGGGATGGTTTCACGCAATACTGTTTACATATTTCTTTGGCTCAACAGCAAACATTTACACTTTGCAGCTGGAATACCCCAGAGGTCATTAAACACAAATATTCCGTCTTCTATCTAGCTCGAGCTTAATATGAGAAGGTAAAAATTTTGCAAGAACATTTCAGAGTTGGATGCGCACTTATAGTTATCATACCTGAATAAGCCAAAAGGTTCTCCCGGGACAGCTTTGCGACGAAGTTGCCAACAACCGCTTAGGTTTGGCTTGTCCGAGATGGACAACACATCCGCATCTGCAATAAGGACCAACTTCTGCTTGAATTTCGGGCATTTCTGCTGCGATATCACCAGCAGACACACTATTTCCATAAAAGCATTCCCAGTTGTTACCCATGTTTTTCCCGCATTTTTCAGTCTCCACTGCTTTTCCCTATGAATAAATAATGATTACGAGAGGTTTTTCAGAGGAAAATTTAATTAACTCGGCTAGCACTTACGCGACATATGTTTAATTTAGATCAAAATTACGACGTCACATAAAGAAATTATTCATGAGCATCGAGGTGACTTTAATAACAAGTCTGGCTCGAGAGACTCTATTAAAAAATTCGTTAAAACTCTTACATACACAGGGATAAAGGAAGAAATAATTACGTCAAACTCTATTCAGAAGAATAAAACAAATCAGGACAAAACAGCGGTGTACTACTGTCAAATACAATACAGATGTGCTTTATTTATGATCATGTTTAGTTGCTGCAGTTTTCTGGCATTCATGCGTTTCCTCTCACGGTGATGTAGTTTCTGTAGCAAGATCTTTACTTTTACTTTTGCTCAAAATAGATTTTTGACTTGGCCTTTTAACACTATCTTCTGGTAACGGGGAAGTTTCTGCTGTAGTATCTTCACCTTCGCTTGGAGTAGCAACCTGATCTGTTTGTTTATTACTATCTTCTGTCAGTCGGGAAGTTTCTACCGTAGTAGCTTCTTCGGCAATTCTAACTTGTGATTTTCTCTTTGTATCTCCAGATAGGCTAGCTTTAGGGACTGCTGTTTTACTACCTTCCCTCCCAGATGTTGATTCTTTGGAAATGCTAACCATTCTACTTACACTCGTTTTACTCTCATCTGCTTCAACTTTAATTCCTCTACGTGATTCGGTTCTCTTACTACTGCTTTTCCTTCTGGTAGAACCATCTTCACCTTCTCCCTCCAGTCTTTGGTTGCTACGTGTAGAACGAACAGATTTTTTGGGTGCACCTTCTGCATCTTCATCGAAAGATTCCATATCAAAGTCTAAGTAAGATTCTTCCATACTGTCTTCTTCTTCGTCAAAGTAAACATCTGATTCTTCCTCAACAGACTCCATCTCACCTTCTTCCTCTTCTTCCAAACTTATGAAGGAGGTTGATGCTTTCTGTATTAAATCTTCTTCCTTACCAATGGCTAAGAATTCTTCGAAACTGGCTCCAGTTTGTGCTTGGATATGTCTGATTGTTGGGATAACAGAACGACTAGTTGCAGGTTTCGGAACAAAACCTAAGTCACCTCTTTGATAAGTTGCAGACAATGACCCGATTGTGTCCATAGAGGGTCTTCGAGCTTTCTTCTTTTCAGATTCAGTCAACAAATTAAAAAGTTGTGTCAAAAGACTCTCTCGTTTTGAAGTTCGAAGAGCTTCATCTGAAAAAACAGTTTGTACTTCCAGAACTTCTTTGATGGCATAAACGGCTTGTGCCAAAAGCGTTGTCAATCGGTCGTTTTCTTCTTCAAGGTTACCTATTTCTGTTTGCATGGACAATTCTTTGCATTTAAGACCGTGCACATTTTGTTCTAGGACTCTAATTTGATGATTTAAACAAAGAATAGTTTGTTTGGTTTTTTGAAGTTCGTTGCAAATGTCATGCATTTCTTTCTCAATTGTTTGATAGTTAGCTAGTTTTTGCGTCATGTTTTCGTGTTCTGTTGTTAATCTTTCAATTATCTTCAATTGTGTTCTGACTTTTGCTAGGGCCTTTTTCTTCTCTTCTTCATGTAATTGCGCTTCTTGTCTCAACGTTTTGTCCCTGACCTTTATTTCGGCATTTTCGGTGTATAATTTGTCATGAGACATGAGCATAGAGTCTAATTCGTTATTAATTGCAATGTTTTCTCTAATTACTCTATGAGTCGTTGCTGCTATTCGAAGTTCGGTTGCCTCTTGAAACTCCGAAGACAGCTGAAGTAATCTGGCTTCCATATCTTTCTTGAGTTTGTCTTTCGCGATGATGAATTTTCGCTCGATTTCATATACTTCGTTCTTGTGTCTCTTTTCCTGTTCTTCCATAGCTATTTCTTGTTCTTCGAACTTCTTCATGAGTTCATCACGTTGTATTCTGAACTCCTCGAGAGAGTTCAGCTTACCTTCTAGCAACTTAATCTCGCTAGTAAGTTGTTCATGCATTTGTTTATACTCATTTTCTAGATCTTGAATTTTAGCTTCGTAAGTTTCTGTTTCATCTTGTCGTGTTTCCTCCAGCGCTTTTAGCCGATCTTGTAGTTCCGCTATCTCGTCATTTTTTTCCTGAAGTATCCGTTTGAGATAAATGATTATATCGTTCCGATCCTCATCAAGCTTTGTCAAGTCATTTTGTAACTGCTCGTTTTTCTCTTCAAGTTCTGTTGTCAGACTTCTCAGACGCGCTAATTTACGATTTAAGTCGGTGATGGTTAGTTCGTAGAAGGTTTTATCCACCTCGGTCAATGCATTTGGATCGATTTTTGGCGCTTTCTTTTTTTTCTTGCCCTTTTTGCCCTTTTTTTTCGGCGGCATCGTGGATTAGTCGAAGGAACTACACAACACTAACTGACATAAATGCCTAAATGTCGTCGCACTTCAGAATTTGTTAGGTCGTTATGGTAACTGTTATCGATTCGAGTTTCTTAGGAGTGCTCCTTTCTGTGGTTAACATGCAACGACATAATACCATTATTGGATGTTCCCTAATTAACCCACCTTCTCTTCGCTCGAGTAATATAATTATAGTCAAAAAATCGTGCACGTGTAAGGTCGTAAAGATCTCAGACGCCTGTTTATACTTTGGACTAAATGAGTTTACATTTCGCTTCTTACCTCGCAGAACTTGGCGCCATAACGAGGAGGAGGGTTGTCGCAAAAACGATAACGACTTCTTGTGCCCCCGATGCAAGTACTCGAACATGGAGTCCAGGGGCTCCAAGGGCCCCAACCACCGCTTTCATTCTCTGAAAAACACATAATACGTGATATGAAGCAGTATTCCACTTGACTATGTAAAAATGAAAAGCTTGTCTTTCTCCCCTGTTATGCACCCTCCGAAGAAAACTTACATAAACTAATCAACGTAGGCTTAACCCTCCCTTTTAACAATGCAAATAGCGGCTATGGCTCGTGTCTCGTATAATTAAGATATTTTTCAGGCGCCGCTTTGTTTATCGTAACAGAGAACTCGCCTGTAAATAGGGTAATCTGCAAAGATTTCCGCTTTAAAAATGCAGAAGGAAAGGTTCAAAAAATATGTAACTTGCATTATACGAAGAAGGAAGGAAAATATTAGCAAAATATGCGACTACTTCAGTTTATTAAAAATTGATAATAAATCCGAATGGTCTTATCTCCACGCAAGCTCTATAGACGAAGAGAATAAAGTTATAAAATCACGTCAGTGCTGCTAATAATAATTATATCATTCATTAGCCTTGTCAAAATGAAAGCCGAGTTTTTATAATGTTTATATAAAACACCTGAAGTTTTTTAACAGTTCGATTATTTTTTTACGGCGAGTTTTGTAGTTTTTGAATGTGAAGTACCGAAATGTTGACTTTCTTTGTTTAAGAATACTAAAGCCCTAAAATAATAGGCCATATTTACAAAAACTGTCTAGATCTAATTAACATATTTTGAGTGAAAGGAGCATCACCTCATAAAAATTTGTCTAAAGTTATTTAGGGAGAGCTTTCCTTCCCCTATATGACAGTTTTATGTCTTCACGATAATCCCTATTTATTAAAACAGGTGGATTATTGAGCTGTGCTCGATTTACTATTTTTCTCTATTCTCTCCTGTCCTTTATCTGCGTTGCTAATTCTGCTATCTTCGCTTTTCGTAAATTCTTTTCCACATGTGTCTTCCATCTTAGTTTTGGTCTTTCTCTTGTGTTTTTCCGAGTGGGATACAGCAGGTTATCACTTTTATGGGGTTTTCCTTCCGTCTTCTCTTTGTGTGCTCGTACCATCTTATTTTGTGGGCTTTTATTACTCCGACTCTGTCCTCGTATGTCATTCATTCAAGATCTAATTCTTATTACTGTTTCATGAATGTCTTTGGTCCTATTATTATATTTCTTATTATGTATATTTCTTTCGAACATTTTCAAGTGTTCCTCTTCGTATATCGTTAAGGTTCTTTCTGCAGCATACATTACCTGCTATTGGTTTTATTGTTGTTGCGTTTATATTAATTTTTGTATTCATACTAATCTTTTTATTTTTAATTATTCTTTTATTTCTGTACGATGCTTGTATTCTTATTTTTAGATCCACTTTTTCATCTTCGTCCTGTTAACTAATATTCCTAAGTTTGTCTTTGAAGTTTCTATTTCTTTGAAGTCGTATCTCTTCATTTTCAAGTCATCTTTTGTGTTTTTTTTTTTTCATTTATTATTAAGCCTCGTGTATTAGCTTCCACCTCAATTTCTTGGCAAGTTTCTTTTGATGGTTGTTTATTGTGAGCCACAATTGTTATGTTGTCAGCGTAACCTATTACATATTTGTATTTTATTTTTATTTATTGTACCAAAATTTGAATTTTCTTCATTATACTATCCATCTTGTGATAAGAAGTACCGTTTATAAGCAATCGTCTTGTATCATGCAATTTTTTACGTGTATTTTTCTTATTTTCTCTGCTTCTGTACCCATTGTTGCCTGATGAGAGTCTCTCGTTGTAATTTCGTTATTCTCTTGGAATCCCTAATTGATAACTTCCTATTATTTTTACTTCCCCAGCATAAGCTAAGGAAGTATTGTAATGGGGTTCATCCGACGAATGGCTACTTTCATGTTTTCTCGAAGTTTCATGACCCCTAGAATACGAAAAAGTAGGTTTCGCGTTTTCGTGTAAACTTCGTTTCAGTTTATTCTGTGTTGGTTAAATAAAATCACAAAATTTATGTTCACCCAAAATGATATTTCGAACGTTGTGCTTCATTAATTAATTAAGTAGTCCTCTCTTGTGTTTTGAGGAGACAAAATCAATTAAATTTCGTTTTCTGTTAACATAACTATCGCTGTTGAGTGTTGATGCTTGTTATCTGAACGTGCTAGTAGTCAAATTCTTTCGAAGTATACACATAAACAGTTGAAGTTATGTAATCTGCTTTAAATATATTTCGTATTATTCGCACTTGTGGGGTTATTTATGCCCTTGATTTTTTACGTTGTACAGGTGAGTCACTAAGCACGCGGTCCACGATATCTTATTCTTATTAATATTTGAAATAAAAAAATTAAAGACCAAAGTTGGACTGTCCTTTGAGGGCTATACTATAAAATTATTTTTAACTATACAGAGTATTATGTTTTTAAGGCGTAACACACAACCTAGTTTTTTTTTTATGAAACACCCTAATACAAATTTTTACATATTTTTATTACTTATTAGCTTTTTCAAGTCTTTGTAACTATAGTCTACATTTGAAATTCTGATACGATGTTATTCCAATTTTCTTCACATATTTTCGCAATGGAACGATTGACAAAAAAATATTATTTTTAAAATCTGTGTTACAATATTTGTGGAAGAGGAATAAAGGTACCCGCTTTGTTGTGGTATCAATTAAATTTAATTGTAATATTCAGAATATTCATAAAAAAAATCTAAAAAGAAAAAACATATCTATTACGTTATTACGCTATTGTTTGTTCTGATTCTGTTAGGTTTAAATATAGAAAATACTTAATAAAAGAGAAAGAGAACAAAAATAGCATAAGATGCAACAGTTTTAAATATAGGTGTTCGATATGAAAAAACTGAAATATACATATAGGTATATTTCAAAATTTTAATTAAAAAAAAATTGATGAATACTGAATATGAAATTTTCATTTTATTTATATCACAACAAAGAGCGTACTTTTGTTTGTTTCTTAACAAAATATTGTAGTATAGACTGTAAAATAACCCTTCTGCGATTTATTTTGCGAACCCTTTCATTGCTAAAAAAAAGTTAAGAAAATTGAAATTACGTGGCAATGTCGCATAAGAATTTCAAAAATAAACTGTGGTTATAAAGCCTAAGAAGTGATTAATCAAAACATGAAAAAACACATAGTGTTTCATTAAAAAAAAAAAAAGAGCATTTGTATAATTAAAAATTATTGTAGAGTATAATTTTCAAAGAACGGTTAACCAAGAAAATAAGTTGCTTCATTCATCTCACATGTCACGCTATAAATTTCAACCTTAAAACCTTAAAACGTGTGCAAAATTTTAGAACGATTGCTTTCGTAGTCTCCAAATTAAATAAAGCGTAAAATTCTGCTGAACAGTCTTTCCAGAAATCTAACTACATGCATAACATTTAAAATGGATGTAGACTAATAAATCATAAAGATTATGTGCACATTATTTTGCACATTTTAAGATCACGTCATAAAATTTTTAGTGGTGATGATCAGACAAAATAAATATTGGTTGGAAGTTTACTATCAGCGTGATATTCTTGCAAGACATAAAATTTTGCAAGAATGAGTTCAGTAGTTTCAGAAATGACGTGTCTAATAACATGACGAACAGACAGACAAACAGACAGACAAACAGAAACGGGAGACCTGATATGAAACGAAAAAACGTCAAATGGACCTGCTTATGTTGGGGAAGTAAAAATAATCTGCTGCAAGTTGTGTCAACGGTTATTTCAACTATTATTAATTTATTATAGACGTACTAATTAATCTTTCACCTAAACCCACTGTCAGCGTGATGTGAAACGAATAAATTTGCACACTGAAGTTTTAAAATAACAGTCAGCTATAACTCATTTTTATTGCAGTTTGCAATTGCACAATAAACAATTTTCTGAATTGCCGGTGTCAAAGTATTCGCAATTTTTATGATTTCGACGACTTTCAGCATAGGAGATAAAATAAAGAGAATTTTATTTTTTCCCGTTCGCCTGAATATAAAATTACAGTAAAACATTTTGGTGTTTTTTTTCTCATGAAAAGTAAGTATTTGATTATCTGAACATTGAATTGTAGCTTTCATTCGATGTAAAAACGAAATCATTTTCCACATAATTATCGATCACGTATTTATTGAAAATAATTGTTCTTTTGCAACAATTTGTACAATAATGTTTTTACGGTAGTCTTAAACATTTCTAACTGATGGATAAAGATACAAATAAATAGTTAGAAAACCTCAGTCAAAATTATGAAATTTGTAATTGATAAAAATGTGACCAAATACAATAGTTTTCTCACTTATCTATATCACATGGGATATAAAAACCCTTTGGCAGCTAATTGCATATCAAACTGTAACTGTGTGAAGGTTATCTTTGTTGTACTAAAATAAAAAAAACACCCACGGTACACTCTCAAACGATTGTCAGTGATCGTCAGGAATGCAGAAAAAACATTTGTTTCACGGTTTAGCAGATACTCTCTTTTTTATCAGAACTGATATTATTATACAGTTATTTCTTTCTTCCACAACGTGTTTTTTATTCGTTTCTTGGAAAATAAGAATATATTAGAATCCACTTTTTTTAAAGCAAATTCCCTAGTTCCAATTTAATAAATTTTATCCACACAGCAAATATCTCCTCTACTTTTGTACAAGAATCTTTTCAGATGCCTACGTTCTGGGTGGAAACAAAACTAGTTTCCTTAGCAATGGTAATCAGTAATCATAGTCACGCATCAGTGGCCAGTGATATTCTTTACTGTAATTAGGAGCTAAAGACGATTTTTTCTTAACAATTTTTTTAAGTAACTATTATAAGAAGAATTTTTGTCATAGTGTAGAGATAATGATCACGATCTACCTGCAAGTAGACAACCAATAATCAGCTGTGATAATTGTGTTGTCCAATGAGACGGCAAATTTTATTAAAAATTCAATGACATATTTTCCACAACCATTTTTACTTCCCGACCGTAAACCCCAACAAATGACTACTTTCTGTTTTCTCGACGTTTCATGACCCCTACAATATGAA